AATGTATGAAAACTCCAGCTCACACAAATAGTCTTTGGAAACTGTTTAGATTCATGCTAGTTCTGTTTTTTGTGTTTCCCACAAGGTTTCAAAACATACACGAGTCCAAAAACATGGATGTGCAGAAATTCACAGATCTATGTTTGTGGATTTTCCCAATATCGTCAGATTGCACAAACTGCATTTTGCCACTAACACTTCATTTGTTCTAGCAAACAAAACCCACTAACATAGACCCGAAACTGATTCATTAAACATACCGAGTTCATTTAGGTCAATAAGATGGCCAAGTGCAAAATCAATACAAAACCCCTAACCTAGATACAAAATTGTTTTCAAAAACATCAAATTTTACTAACATAGATGTAATGGGTTACGAGTGAAATCCATGAACAAAACCTAATATAGATCCGATAATTGAACAAACATGCTAAAATATGCCAAAATCGTTCAGGATCCTATTCACATAGATATGGGGTATCAAGCGCAAATCCATCCAAAACCACTAGCATAGACAACATAGATGTTTATTTCGATTTCCTAGATGCAACATTTTGTAAAAACATGTGGGAAACCACTAACATAGATCTTGGAGGCTGCATTGCAAGGTGCAAAAGCAAACAAATAACATAGATAACCTAAATATAAATACGAAAACACAAACACTAAACCACTAACACAGATATGCTGCGATTCCAGAATGATGCAAGTCTGACCGTCAAGGATATTAACAAAGATATTGATTTGTTGAAATGATTTTCAGCATCCTCGGTAGTTTCAAAACATTATATATTTTTACATGATAATAGTTTCGCATTCAGACATGCTTTGTGATTTCCAGAAGCATTTCTGGTGACATTCTACGCAATTTGAAATAATTGGATTTTGGTGTACAAAAACACAACTAGGACTATAACAGTGTGCATACAAAAACCATGGAGAGGGACACATGTCTGAGGCTGACATGCATGGCAGGACAAGCAAAGGCTTGGTTGGTCACGTTTGAAAGGGTGCGTTTGGTTCGGTTTTTTTTTCGGTCAAACATAAACCGCACAAGAAAGAAAATCGGGCACTCGCATATTCTAATAATTGAAATTCTGATAAAACGTTATAGGCTATAGGTATCGATAGCTTGATATTTTCTGCCGAATTAGGATGATATATTGCAGGTCTATGGTTCATTCATACGATGTTGGTACAATATTTGGGCCAATGTTTGTACAATGCATAGTCCGTACAATGTTCGTACCATGTTCTTACAATGTTCGTACAATGTTCGTACAATGTTCGTACAATGGCCAAAAAAGTTCGTACAATGTTCGTACAATCTACCACTAAAGTTCGTACAATATTGTACGAACTTTTGGCCATTGTACGAACATTGTACGAACATTGTACAAACATTGTATCCAGAGTCTCCGAAAATAGTAAATTTACTTTGGAGTCTAACTTATGTAAATCAAAAAACAGGTCAAATTTTGTGGCGACATCCTAAATTGATTCAAGTTGTAGCCCAAATTTGAAGATGCATGAAACGCGTATTGCATTTTCTTGTGTTGTATGTGTTTTTGATGTTTCTCAGGCAACTTTCTCAGGCAACTTATGTGTCATGATGTGCAATCTGTTTGTAATTCAGAGAAACTTGTGTGTATAATTCGTAGTTGCCTGTGTGTACAACGCATGGTTACCTGAGTGTAATTCATAGTTACTTGAGGGTAATGCAAAGCTACTTGAATGTAATTCTCAATTACTTGTGTAATTCACAAATCCTTGTGAGACAAACTCATATAAAACATTGTGTGTACCAACAACACCCTGGGAGTTGAGGTGCCACTGTTCTTAATCCCTATGCAAATTCAAGGTATGAACTTGTTTGACATGAGATATGTTGCAACATCAGCACATGTCTCAAGTAACATCATCCATGAATAATCATCACATTGTATCACATGAACCTCTCGAAACAATGGCATTTCTTTCATCACAGAATCTCAGGCAATAAACAAGACTGGCAACTTGAACCCTCCGGTAATGAACCAGCTGAAAACATATTGTCTGTGAAATGTCTTGGTTGCAGCATATTTTACTTGTGAGTGCCATGTGCGTATTTGTTGTTCCTATCTTGTCCATACCAAAAAGAAAAATATGTAAGTATATGAATATGCAAATATATACTTGTCAAAAAATAGGGGTGCCCCAAAGTGTACATTCTTCAATTGGGATTTAAAGCTTTGGGGCACCCCTATGTTGAGGCATCATCACTTGTACTATTTTTGTATAGTATATAAACTGATACTCGTGTATTCAGCATGTCATTTATTGAACTTGTTACGTCTGTAACCCATATGCCATTTGCTCTATTTGTGGACAACTGCCAAGGCCACATGATTACTTGTGGCATTGCTTCTTTTTTGTATGCATTTGCATGAACATAAGTCACTCATTTATCTTGATCATGTCTGGCGCAGATTGACAAGAACGATGAAAAAATGAATTTAGAATTACTTGTGGCAATTATGTTGGATCCTTGTGGGTATGTTCAACAAGGAGTTCCACTTATATAGTAATGTATATAAACACTTCCCAATATATAGCCAATGTTTGTTTGCCTTCGGATTTCTTCCATGTTTTTTCTTTTTTTTCTGAGGTTCTTATGCATTTCTGATGATGTTCTATTGAAATTTTGATGAACAAATAAAAACTGCATGCAGTTCTTATGCAGTTTTGTTTTTGTTTTTAATTTTCAACCAAAAAAACATACCTTTTTGCAAAAAGATAGTTATGACGTTTTCAAAACAGCATACCAGCTGCATATGAACTGCACAATATTTTTCTTCTATTGCTCATCAAAATTTCAAAATAACTTCATCAAAATGACAAAAAATAGAAAGTGATAGAGCCTTGACTCGAAGTTTCTTGTGGAGTTTGTAAAATCTACATATAGCGATGTCTCAAAATGAGGTGTCCTTTTTTGCTCTTCAAAGTGATATTTTGGGGGCCAAAAAGGACACCTCACCCTGAGACATACTCATATCATATTGCATTCAGGACAAAAATCAACAGACATTCATAGTATATACAACATATATCCATGGGATATTCAACTCATGATTGGCCGAGAACAAGTTGAAACACCATTTCCAACTGTGCGACAAAGTGGCAACACACCAGACAACTTGCAGTCATCAGAGATACATCATCTCAGGTAAGGAGTGATTAAAACTATCACTTAAATGAACGTATTTCAGATACATCTCAGTGAAGGGAAAAATGTGTTAATACTCACGTTTTTTTTCAAGTAACCAGTTCAAGCAAGATACTCAAGTAATGACCTCAAGTAAACATGTCACTAACAGCAGCACCAAATGACGACATCTATGCCAGCTGACTAAACAACTTTTTGGGATTTCACAAGCTGATTGATCAAAAATGGGCCCTTGCCCTTATACGGCCAACATGGCAACCAACTCAAGACCAACAGCAATCAAAAACAAGGTAGGTGGACAGAAATACCCTTCAACAAAAATCATTGGTTTCAGTTTCTTTTTCCACAATGCTTTCATGCATAAGTAACATGCATCATCAGAAGCAACTCAAGTACAGTCACAGGTAGCATAGTGAATCATAAGAAGGAAGAAGGTCACATAGGTAACAGGTTCAAATTATTGAAAATTTGACAAGTAGTTGTTCAAAAGAAGAAAACACACCCCTAATCCGTTCGCACAGTTTTTCTCACAAGTAAACCCACTGGACAAACCTTACATCAGCAATCAACACACACACACGCACATGCAAATGCCGTAAAAATGAGCAAACAAAAATGCACAAACCACATCAACATTGATACAAAATCTGCACCATACCCAGTTGCAAAAAAAAACAGAAACCAAATATGTGACATGTGTTCATTCAAACAAGAACCACTTAAAAAATGGGTATAAAAGTAGTAAATCAATTTAGGTAGGTAAGGCCAGGTAAGGTATATAAGTATATTTTGGTTATCAAAAATGCACTAGTAAATGCTTGCCCTAAATTTAATCAAACTATATAGTGAATTTGGTTGTAGGTCAAATTACTAATTTAGGAGACGTCCATAAGTTTCGTATATTTTTGAGGTTTGAAGGGAGCAATGATGAAAAATGCACTGAGGTCACAATAAATATGCATTTTTGAGATTACCAAAATCAAAACTTGAAAAAAGAAAGCACGCCGACTCATACTCCATCATTGCCACAAATGGTCTGCACATTGGCCCAAATTTATCCAAATTGTGCCATCCACTGGCTAGAGAAGGTGGCAAAAAAAATGCTGTCAGCAACACCATTTGGTGCTTTGATCTTTCTGAACATTATTTGGTGTAAAATTGTTTTTATACCCCAAAAAAACTGTTATTTTGAGTTTGAGTTTTGAAAATGCTAAATTCCATGCATTTTGTTTTTTAAGTTTTTTCCATGCTGCCCCCAACTTCCTATTTTGCCGAAATCCCCTCAACGGCATCAATAGAGCCATCCACATGATTAGTCAAACATTTCCACGTGCCATTTTTACAAACCGAATCGATTCGCAAACACACACACACACAATACAATATACACAAGTAGCAAATTCATGCAAATTCTTGCCCGAGTGGTAGGGGATGACCCTACTGATGGCATCTTATTAGTGGTAATTGGCCACAAAATCAAGAAGCATCCCAGGAGAATCAGCAAACAAAACATAGAGAATCTACTCATCTTATACAATATCATCTTTGCAATTTCATCCCAGCCTTCTTCTCTTAAAAATCCCACGTGAATCCAGTAGATTCACACTAAGACCCAGTTTCCCGCCTGGGGGTTCTCCTGCAATAATCACTCATGCCTCGTCCAGCCCCAAGCCGAACCAGACCACAGTCGCCCGCAATCGGTCGCTGACCCAGTTCCGGAGTCGACTCATCTTGCGCTGGCAGGGATCTTCGAGATGTTCCAGGATTCTCATCTTGAAACTCCCAGATCCCCTGCCAGGGCAAGATGAATCAGGATTAAAATTATATTCAGAATGGTTCAGGTAAGGAGGTGATTGGGTGATTTCGTGGATCACTGAAGCGCTTGCGATCTGTTGTGATCACAAAATACACTATATCACCTCGGTTGTGCCGATGCCACCTAATTTGGGATGGTATCTGTCGCACCTATTTCTGGTGAAATTAGTAGGGTTGGTTTATTATTGGGTTTACTACATTACTACATTACACATTGTATTGGACTTCAATTCTTCGATTGTGAAGAGCATCCACAAATGCACATCCTGCACGATAGACCACTGCTCAAGGAACAAGAAAACATCCTCAACATCTTCCACACCCATCCCATTTGGAGAGGCCGTCGCGCAGCTGCACAGTGCCTGCAGACTCATCTGCCTGAGGGGCTGAACTAGCTTGCGAGCAGCTGGGTGGACAAGCGCATGAAGCATAACCAAACATCACCATTTTTTTGCCCAGGCATCCAATGGCTTTGCCCTGCAGGGACCAAACGTCACCATGAGTAAGCAAAAAATCAGCATAGGTGAGCACACACACTAAAACTTTCACACTCAGAATGCAAAACCATCAATGGCATTTTCCTGCACAACTCTACGGGATAGAGTCTTCCAACATCCCCACTGCTGTGATTTGTAGATGGTCTATGAGGGTCCTGGTGGTCTCTGTGTACCAGCTCATCCGTACGAGATGCCACTTTTTGCAGCAAGTGCTTTTCGCCGTAAATTACACGGCCTGTGACTTGGCGAGCGCTGATATGAGGCACCTGCGAAACACGTTCATGAACATTCCTATAGGCACAGCTCCCCTCATGCCACAGCGTTGTCGCTGCCTGACTGCTGTCAAGGCAGGGGTCACATAGCTACGCTCTTCGGAGTTCACCAATTTCTACCTGCCGCGGCTCGTGCACTTCCTGCAGGAGCCTCAGATTGCGCCTCCGGTGAATGAAGAACAAAACACCACCCCCGCCGAGAGCGAGCAAAAGCAAGATGACAATGATGACAACGCCGGCATTTCCGCCGCCTGAACCATCGCCTCAGCTCGAGCAACAAACGACCCACAGGATGTCCTTTTTTGGGGCAGCTCGTGCAAGAATGGCCCCCCAGCTTTGCAACCCAGCAGGAAAGCTTGAAGCCCCCCCGATTCATCCATTACCACCTGCAGACCCCAAGCAAAATGTCAGGCCTCATCACACTTCATCATTTCATCGAAGCGCACCATGCTTCATCATACCTCATCAACTTCATCATGCCTTGCCACCCTCCTTCATATACCTCATCATACTTCACGATGCTTCCTTGCACCACAAAAGACTTCGTCATACATCGTCATACCTACCTGATACCTCGGAATACCATGCGGCACTACCTAAACACACTTTGTCACACCTGACCATACCTTGTAGTACATCATGATGCCTCATCATACCAACCCCCCAGCTGCCCTATCACACTTCATCCTACCATACCTCACAAAACCTCATCATACATACCTTGAAACAGTTCATCATTTCTCAGCGTACTCCATTGTACCTCATTTACCATTACACGCATTGTACCTGATCAAACCTTGCTTTACCTCATCATACCTACCAAACCTCATACCTCATTATACCTGCCTCAAACATCATCATAAATGTTATGCTTCATCAAACATGAATCGTTATTCATCTAAACTTCATCAAACTTCATCATGCCTCAGGAACTCCGACCTACCTTATTGCACCTCACAGTGCTTTGTCAAACCTCACCCTGCCTCATCGACCATCATTTGTCATACCTCTTCAGTTTTCTTCACTCCTGATCAAACCTCAGCATGCCTACTCATACTTTGTCAAACCTCATCACAACTCATCGTACTTCATGGATCTTCATCAAGCATCGTCAAACCTACCTCACGCCTCAAGAAACCTCATCAGCGATCAAAACTCCTCATTCCTCATCATGCTGCATCATACCTTTATCATATTCCATATTTATACCTCATACTTACAGTACCTCAAACCCTATCAAAGCTCGTCAAGTGTCATGATCATCTGTTGTCGTTCCTCATCAACGTACATAGTTCATCATAGCCTGTCACACTGACAAATAGTCTCATCAAACTTCATCAGCACCAATAATACCTCATCAAACATTATGTTACCTCATTGTAACATACTTCCTCATCTTCCTCATACCTCATGACACCACATCAAACCTGATCAAACTCTATCATTAAAAGAAACTCATCATGCCTCATCAAAATTCATCAAACCTACCTTCTTTCCACCTCGTCATCCCTCATGATATCTCATGATGCCCCATCACATCTCATCATACCTTATCAAGCCAAGTCGTACTTCATCAATCAATATACCTCAAACCTGCCGCGCTAAACTTCACCAAAATTCATTGCACTTTTTCAAACGACATCATCATTCACTATACATAAGCATACTGTACCTTTCAAGTCTCATCTCCCTTCATCATAAAAATCCAATCATGCTTCAACATACCTCAACTACTTTATTGCACGCTGCGTTTTTCCCCAGATAGCAAAGCCTCATCATACCATGATCACACCTCTCAAAAAACAAGACTTCCCGCCGAATCTGCACAGTTGAACCCAGTGCCCTCCAAGGTGGAGCATCCTGGGAAGTGAAGCTGAATACAACGGCCCGGTTCCCGCGACGTGACCTATCCAAGGTACGTAAGGAGGCAGTTCTACGGTGAAGTTTGGTCCGAACCTTTCAAAGGTCTAGGGTTCCGAGGTTCCATGTCCCCCTCTGTCTCAATATTTCAGAGCTTTGATAGTTCCAGGGCGATTCCAAGGTTGAAGGGTTCCGAAGTTCCAAAGTTACACAATTACAGCATTCCAATGTTCCAAAATTCCAATTCCAATGTTCCGCGCTTCCAGCGGCTTCCACAGTTCCACAGTCCTTCCACAGTCCCCTTTCTGTGTTTTCGACGCCGTGGGCAAGCAATATCAACAATGCACCAGTCCCAGCGCTAGAGAGTAGAACAGTATAACTCAATAGCCCCCCGCTGTACCCTGAGCATCAGTAATTGATCCTATTCAATTAAATCCATGGTTTTCTTATTGACCTTGAATTTCTTTGAAATAATTGAAATTTTCAATAAAATCCCTTTTGATTTTTTCAGCATACCTTATTGAACTAACATATGAGTTTTCCAATTGATTTTTGGTAGTTGTAAAAAAGGTAAATACAATGAAAATCTAATTGATTTTTGAATTGAAAATCTAATTGAATTTGCTGGTGTCTTAAAAACCATATATGCCATGAGCGCTGGTTGGCATGTAATCTGCAGGTACCTTGAAAACATAAGTCATGAGTGTTGGTGAATGGTGCTGCAGCTGTTTTCCAATTTAAGTGCTCAAGCTATAGCACCACCAAGCAAATTAGCTATAGCAACCTGTTGACAGCTTTGCCTTGAGGAGCAAGCCACTCCTTGTTAGAAGGAGGAAAGCATTCCTTGGTCAAAGGAATGTCTGGAAAAGGTGGTCATAGAAATTTTGTCAAGTCCTACATAGACCCTGGCATTTTGTTCGATACTTTATCCAGGCATGATGCCTTACTGCCTCAGTTTGGAGCATATGACCATGTGTCAAGGAATCAAAGTATTGACCCAAAGGGGTTGCTTCAAGTGCTTCCCCTGGTGAAAAGCTTGATAAAAGCTTCACCATCATGTGAAATTCACTCCAACCCACTGAGGGGAGCACTCTTACAGCTTGTGTGCTCCAAGCCCAATTTGAACACTTCCAAATGGAATGGGACTGTTTGGAGCAACCTTCGATGTGAAAGGATTGGGGTGGTCTTGCACCACATGCGAAGGTTAAAGAATTCCCCAGAGGAGGTGAGGAAAGCAGCTGGAAAGCTGACTGGTGCAGAAATTGCAGAGCTGCAAAATGTGGTTGACAGCATTGTCATTGCAGGGGAAGAACCAAAAAGAAAGCTCAAGAAGGAGATCTCAGAAGTTTCCCTGGGGTCAGATGGATACCCCACTGAATTCAAAACACCAGAACAGAAGGGAAAAGGTGAAGGTGAAAAGCAGCCCTTGCTAAAAGGGAAGAACAGTGCTAAGAAGAGAAGTGGTCAAGAAGCCTTGTTGAAAGGCCAATCTGCATGCTCTGCAGCTGCTTCATCACCCCCAAGCTTCCTCAGAAGGAGAAAGGGAGCCATGGCCACCAACCCCTCTGAAGAAGAACAAGAGCATTCAGAGCAATCTGCAGAAGCCATGGGGTTCAAAAAGCCCAAAGGCCAGAAGAAAGAAAAAAAGCTGAAGATGCCAGCCTCTGCTAAAGTGAAAGGCATGAAGAGGCCTGCATGTGCACTTGCTAAAAGTGACAAGAGGCCATGGGTGAAGCTGAGCATCACCTATGCAAGAAAGCCACAGAGGGCCTACATCATGGGCAGCAAGGAGGAAAAAGCAAAGCCCAAGTTGGTTGTGGAAGTCAGCAGTGTCAGGTCTGCAAGCTACAAAGAAATCATCCAGAAAATTTACAAGAAGATTAAAGCAGAGAACTTGAGCAAACAGGAAGCTTTGAAACTCAGGGGTGAGCTGTGCTGACACTCCAGCTTCAATCCTTGTTGCAAGGATAGTGCCTTTGATATCTTTGAGAAGCTCTTGCAAGGAAAGGAAAAAGAAAGAGACCCCTTGCTGAAAGGGGGAACAGCAGAGAAATCATGCAAGTTCAGGAATTGCTCACCCCCTGGCACTATGGGCACATCAGTGCAAAGGGCATGCAAGAGATTGCCCATGGATTTGTGCAAGTCCTTGTTCAAAGGATTTGCTCTTCAATGCTAGTTTGCCTTCAATCCTTGTTGAAAGGATTCACTGCACTCCTTGTTGAAAGGACATGGTTTACATGGAACCCTGGGTGAAAGGCTTTGATAGCTTTGGGGACCCTTGTTGAAAGGGGGGCTGCAGGCACACCTTGGTAAAAGGTGTTTAGGCAAGCACCCTTCTGAAAGGGGAGGGCAGCTAGAGAGTATTTCAGACAAGTAGAGTACTAGAAAAAGAAAGCTGCTGTTGGGCTGTTGGGCCTGGTGGTGTGTTCCACAAAAAAATGTTTGGGTAACCCTGTTATTTTGGTGGTTTGATTGAAAGGTTTGGGGAGGCACCCTTCCAAATATATTAGTGTAGTGGGTACAAGAAAATTATATAATTGGGTTGAAAATATGGGGGTAATTGAAAAAATGTTTTTAGAACCCCCTTTATTTTTTGGGGGTACTGGTTTGGGTTGAAAAAAGGTTAAGTTTTGTGGCAATTAAAAAAATGTTTTTTGAACCCCCTTTAATTTTTTGGGGTACTGGTTTGGAAATATGGGGATGAATGTTTAAATAACATGTTTTTCAAAATAATCCAAAGGTACCCCTTTAATGGGAAGCCACCTGGTCTGAATGTTTATGTCTGTTGTTTTTAGGCTCTAGCCTAGAAATTCGCCCTTGCTCCAGCCTCGCCTTTGTGTTTGCACCTGCAGCACCACCAACTGGACAATGTTTTTTTTAACTTAGCCCTTGGTAAAAGGGCCAAAATTCACCCTTGTTCAAAGGGTCACATATATCCCTTGTGTCAAAGGGATGTCCTCTTGGGATGACAAGGATTGGGGGTGGCAGTCCTGGGATTGGGACCAGCCCTCATGGGGCCAGTCCTCATGGGATGATTGGGATTGGGATTGGGATGATTGGGGTTTGGGAGGAGGATTGGAAAGAGAATTGGAAAGGGGAAAGCCTTGATAAAAGGCAAGAGGAAAGCCTTGATAAAAGGCAAGAGGAGGAGAAGCAAAACACCTGGAGGACAGGTGCCTCTGATGCAGCCCCACTGTCCAAAAAAAGGAACAACAAAGGCAGACCAGCTGGCACTGGGACAGTGAGCCACAAAAGAAGGCTGCACTACCAACAAAGGTCCTATGAAAAGAGGATTGCCAGGGAACAAGCAGAAGCAGAGCTCAAAAAACAAGAGGAAGAGGAAGAAAAAAGATTGAAAGAAGAAGGGGGCAAAAAGAAAAAGCAAGAAGATGAAGAGAAAGAAAAAAGAGAAGCAGAGAAGGCAGAAAAGGAAAAGCCAAAGGTGAAGGAGGAGGACAAAAAAGAAGAGAAAACAACCCTTGCTCAAAGGGTGGGGCCCAATCCAGCCAAAGGGATCCAGGAAGTGCAGATCTCCTCTGGGGAGAGCATGTCCACTTCAGAGGACATGTCCTCTTCAGAGGACAGCATGGACAACAGAGACAGCAGGGCCAACCAAAAAGGAAGGGGTCAAACACCCAAGCTGGAGTTTGGCCCTAGCAGGCTGGAAGTGGTCAAGGAGGAGCAGGCTGCCAGAAATAAAGCTGCTGCCAAAAAGAAACCTGAGGAGAAAGCCAGCAGCAGCAGCAGCAGCAGGGGACCAGCAGCAATGGACACATCCCTTGATCAAAGGGAAGATCCAGCCACACCCCTTGATAAATAAAAGGGACAAGCCACAGATTGCCATTGACCACCACAATGTGCTGGAGGTCAAGGGGCACATCTACCCCCAGAGCATCAGGTGCCTGGACAGGCTCAGGCAGCTGGGCTACAAAGTGCACCTGGTGTCTTACTGTGGTGAAAACAGGTGGAGACAAGTCCACAGTGAGGCACTGGGTGCTTGGGATGGCTGGGAGTCCATGACCAGGACAGACCAAAGGTGTGGCCCCAATGGCAAAGTAGAATACCTGCTGAGCAAAGGGATCAGTGTCTTAATAGATGACACAGCAGAGATTCTGCAAGAGGCCTTGATAAAAGGCATCAAGGTGTACCCCATCACACACCACATGAGAAGCATGTGTGGAACAAGGGGGACAAGCCTGCAGGGGCAACCTTTTGCCACAGATACCTGGCAGATGCCATCACCTGCTTCATCCTGGATGAAAACAAGAGAAAGAAGCAGTGGCAGGTAAAGAACTAACCCTTGCTCAAAGGGTAAGAATGTCCTGGAAAAAAAAACTGAGACCCAAAAAGGTGCAGCCAACCCTTGCTCAAAGGGTACAAAAATGAAGGGATTAAAAAACAAAAAACACACCTTGCTCAAAGGTGCCTGGCACAAAACAAAACACATTGTTAAAAGGCGGGTCTTCCCCCCAAACTTGCTGGCTCTCCTTGTTAAAAGGATTGAGCTTTTCAGCTGACCTGGGTTTGCCCCCTCAACTGCAGGGATGGCAGTGAAGAAAAAAAACATGTTGGGAGGGTTTGGGTGGGTACAGTGTTTGCAGGTTTGTTTGTGTGTCTGTTCATGTTTACAACTGTAAATTAGGAAAAAACATGCAAACACCCCCCAAAAATGAAGTGGTTGCCTGCACAATATGGGCGTGTTGTTTTCACAGGAAACATTTTTTGTTTTGGTTTACCTGGTGACTAAATAAATAAAATACCTTGCATGCAACCAATTGCATTTTCAGATGTTCAAATTGTTTTCCAATCAACAGTTTTTTGTTTAACCAGGATGCCCTATTATTTTTGGAGCCCTATACAAATTTGAAAAAGGTATAGCCTTGGTAAAAGGCTGAAGTTCAACAGTTCACATTGGGTTATCTATGCAATGGAGCCTCAATTCAGAAGTAATTGTTCACTACATATTTTTCAAACATTTATACAGTTGAATATTTTTCTAAGGGTTCATAACTCTGCACTGTTGCAATTCCCTTTCAAAAAATTTGGTCTGTTTATGCCACAAAAGGGTGTTCCATATTTTTTATTTGACATTGATCTGGGTGGAAAAAAACAAATGGTGAGGTGAAAAAATTGTAGAACAATGAAATTTGATGAAATCTGATGAAACCATGATTTCATCAGATTTCATCAGATTTCATCAGAATTCACTATTTTTTATTTTTATTTTTTCAATCCAGTGTTTTTTTTCATACCCAGATCACACCATTACAAGCATGTAGTCACTAAAGACCATGGTCCACCAAATACATTTCAAACAGCACATTTTTGGGTTTCACTGCCCTTTCAACAAGGGCAATGAAAAATGTTTGTCCATGCACTGGGTTGTTTATGTGTTTGGTTTTGGTGTTCAATGTGTTTGTTTCTTGGTTTTGTTGAAACAAATTGGGGTATATATGTTTGGTTATAAACAATATTCTAGTTTTCAAAATGCAATGTATGAAATAAATTGTATGATTATTTGTTATTAATCCAAAAAGGGCAACCACCACAACTAGCTCAGGGGAACCCAAAACAATCCAGCTCCAAGGGTGCGGTTTTCAGGTAGGAAGCCTTGCTAAAAGGCAAAACAATTGTTTGTTGTTTTGAAATCTTTAGGCTCAAACTCTAGTATTGCCATACATAGGTAGTGTAGCCATGGCACCCAAGAAGGTGATGAAAGCCATGAAAGTGAAATCCAAGACCTTGATGAAAGGTCCAAAACCAAAGTCTGAAAGTGCTTCTTCTAAGAAAGCCACTGGCAAAGGAAAACAAGCCTTGATGAAAGGCAACAAAACCAAGCTGACCAAAAGCCAGCTTGACAAATTGGGGAAACTTAGTTTGAAGGAAAAAGTTGAACATGCCACAGCAAGTGCTGACACCGCAGAAGAAGCAGCACAGAACTTGAAAGAAATCATCAAGCCCAATGAAAGGGGCCAGATTTGGTCCAAGCATCAAACTGCTATGAAAGGTGACAAGGAAGCCCAGGAAGAGCATGATGCCCTCAACAAGACTCAGAAGGGGTTGGCTTCTTTGCTTTGGTTTGTTGAAAACCAGAGCAAGAAGTTTTTCAACAGCACTGCAACCTTTGGAACCAAGCACACCTTGATAAAAGGTGACACTTGGAAGACAGAAAAGCAAATGATTGATCAATTTGGTGATGAGCTCCAGCTCCACATCCAAAGTGGAAGGATCCAGTGGAGATCTGATCCTTACACACCTGATGTGTACCAATACAAAGGCTTGGGAAACATCACTGGCAGCACTGAGGTGACCAGGAAGAGGCAGCATTCCATGGGTGTGGAAAATGCAGCCACTGCTGATCATGAAGATCACTTCATGAAAGAATGGGGAAAAGGAGGGCACCACATGCTGCAAGATGCTGAGGCACCTGGCAAAGGGCAAAGAGCCTCTGGTAGCAAAGGAGGCAGGGGAGGCAAAGGAAGCAAAGGAAATAGAGCCCCCCTGGCTATCACCAATGGAGATGGGAAAGACAAAGAACAGGAGGACAACAAAGATGATGAGAAAACAGAGTGGAACAAGTGCTTGGTAAAAGCACAAAAGGCCAAGGAAAGCTGCATCCTGGCCATCTCCAACATGGAAGAAGCAATTTCCAACTGCCACAAAGCTGGAAGGCTTACCAAGGCTGCTCGCAAGGACTATGAAGATTTGATGAAGGATGTGCAGCAGCAAGCAGAACAGCTGAAGAAACTTCTCAAGCTCAAGGGGAACCAGTATAGCTTGCAAGCAGCAAAAGATATCATTGTAGGGCTGCCAACAAAACAAAGGAGCTCAAGGATGAAATCAAAGAATGTGTTGGCCTTGCAAACAAAGCTGGTTCCAGGGCATCAACCAAGAAGTGAATGTGTGGAAATCCAGCCAGCAACCCTTGCTCAAAGGGTTTTTGACACACCTTGTTCCAAGGTGGGTTTTGCTGCAATCCTTGCTTAAAGGAACTTCCTACAATGATGCTCTGCTGAAAAGGATAGTGCAAGCATGTGAAGCCTTCAGCCCTTGCTCAAAGGGTGGCAGCATTTTAGCATAGAACATGGCTTTGGAAATGGCTATCCTTGTTGAAAGGATGTTGCCTGTCCTTTCTCAAAGGATCTGCTGCAGCTTTTGTAGCTTTTTCCAACTGCCAGGAACTCTGATGCAGCAAAAAGGTGCTGAGCTGGGGGGGGTAATATTTTTGTTCTTTGTAGGGTTGTTCTTGTAATTGTTGTTTTCAATAAGTGTGTGTGTGTGAGAGTTTTCCACCTACTGTAATTTTGCCTAACATATCTACAAATAAATGTGTATTCATGAAGTAGGCAGCTTTGGGTTGCAAAAAAACATGTATGCATGCATGTGTCCATGGCCTGCAGCTTTTTTTGGCTAAGCACCTGCAAAGCTGTTCCATGGCTGCCAGGGTGTAGCAGGAGGTGCTGATTGGAGAGCTACCACCCTTGTTGAAAGGGCAGGCTTGCAACTCTTGTTGAAAGAGTGCATCCATGGAGCCAAAAGCAAAAAGGATCAGAGGCTGGAAGCTTGAGATGGCAAAGGAGGCAGGTGGCAGTGAGCCCTTGTTGAAAGGGGAGCAGGAGGTGCCAAGTGCTTTAGGCACATTACTTCTCACCATGTGGAGCCATGGGCACATCTCAGCCAAAGCCATGCAAGAACTTGCCCACATGGCAATCCTAGATGGTGCCACCCACCCTGAACTGGCCCAAATTGCATCTACTGGCCATCGGGGAGAAATTCCTGGGAATGTGCATAGAGATATCATGACACATTACTGCCAGGGCATCAAGCTCACCCCTGCAATCCATGTGCAGGTGCCAGTGCTGGAACCAAAAACCTCCAAGGTTTTGGTAGAGGATGCCAGCATCTTCCTGCCACACATCCTTTTCAGTGATCTGGCACACCATTACCCAGATCAATTCCATAACCTGTTTGGGACCCAGGACCTCCAATCTTTTTGGAAAGGTGTTGAAAAGGTGAAAGATGACAGGCTGTACCAGCATCCAATATGTCTTGATGAAATGCATGGGGCATACACTAATTGTGTCCAGGAAAAGCAAAAAACAATTCCTCTCTTCATCCATTGTGATGGTGTCGAGTTCCAGAGCAGAGATTCTCTACAAGTTTGGAATTGGGGTGGGCTCCTGTGTCAATATCATTCCCTTGCTGCCCATTTCTTGGTATCAGCCATACCCAAGGCATGCACCACTGAAAGCACATGGGATCCAATAATGGAATGGGTCACATGGAGCCTGGAAGCCTTGTTGAAAGGCTATCACCCTGAGGTGGGACCAAAGAATGAACCCTTGTTGAAAGGGTCACCCTTTCATGCCCTGAAAGGATTACCTCTCACCCCTGGAAATTACAGGGCAGTGGTATGGGCAGTGCAGGGGGACCATGAAATGTATTCAAACACCCTCCACCTCCCACACTGGAATGCAACCAGCCCATGTTGGGATTGCGACTGCAAGCAGCCATTCAGTAAAGGTACCCCTTGTGAAAAGGGGAAAAGCTTCAAAATTGTAAAAGAAGAAAAGCAGAGGTTCATATATGTGGACACCAAAGCAGCCTTGCTAAACGGCAAAACCAATCATCCTTTGTTCTCAGTGCCAGGGCTGACTACTAGGATGGTGAGGCATGATGGACTTCATGTCCTGTTTGTCAGAGGTGTATGTGCACACTTAGTTGGATCAATATTGCATTACATGGCCTTCTTTGATGGCAAAGGTGTCCAATCTGCCAAGCCATCAGAAAGATTAGCCTTCATTTTTGAAGAAATCCAAGAAGCCTACAAAAGGTCATCTGCACCAACAAGGCTGACAAACCTCAAATTGTCCATGATCTGCGATGTTGCAAAGCCACACAAGCAGTTTGCAAAGCTTGACTGCAAAGGTGCTGAGATGAAACACCTCTGTGTGGCCCTATTGTCAGTTATCAAGAATATGCTGGATAGGAAGCAGGAACAGCACAGGGACATGGTGCCAGCCTTGCAATGCATGGTGGATCTGATTCAGCTCTTTGACAGAATTGGTATTTTTCCCAGCAGCAAAGAATACATTCAAGCCAGAAACCTTGAGAAAAGGTTCTTTGCCCACTATGATAGCTTGAATATCTGGGCACAGGAAAATGACAGGCTTCTGTTTCATCTTGTGATGAAGCACCATACACTACACCACATGGTGAGGGACAGCCAATTCTTGAACCCTAGGAATTGCTGGAACTTTAGAGCAGAAGACTTTGCTGGGAAAATCAGTAGATTAGGGGCCAGTGTGGCAATGGGTGTCAAAAGCACCAAGGTGAGCCAAAAGATCAATGCCAAATATCGAATCCTTTTGCATTTGCAGCTGGTGAGGCTGGGGTTTGGGCTTGTCAGCTGTCAGGATGATCCTTAGAATGCCACACCACACAGCTTGAGAAAAGCTGAAGCATGCAACCCTTGATGAAAGGGTTCCAGGCTTCTGCAATTGATCAATATTATTTTTTCAACTCATCAAAGCATGCAACCCTTGCCATCCAGGGGGTGATCAGATCAATCCTTGTTCTGATCGTCGATTCTGGCTTGCAATGGCTGCTTGCACAAAGTTGCTTTCATGAATCCTTGGTTAAAGGATAAGCCACAAAGTTTCACCCAAAGACACATGCAGCATGCAGTCAGTAAAAATGTTGCTTCTGGGGGTGGTGGTGCATGGTCTCAATGGTTACCTAATTGATTTCCCAATTGAATTTCTAATTGAATTTCTAATTGATTTTTGGCCTTTCTAAACCATCACATTTGTATTGAATTTTGAAGTGAGAAACCATGGGTTTTCTAATTGATGCAATTTTCAATAACTTCAATTAAATATATTGAAAAAAAGCTGGATTCAATAAGGTCAAAATCTAATTGAATAGGATCAATTACCGATGCTCAGGGTAGGTAAACAACCACCCAAAACCAATGATCAAACTACAACCTGAAGCGGCTCAGCTTGCACTGAAAAACTGGGGAGCTAACTTCATGTGTCAACCGGGTTCCAATGTTGAATCCAAGGCGCCTGAACTTGGACTCATCGAGGTTGTGGAGCTTGTTGGTTTAGGGGCGTTGCTGTCTAACCAATAGATACTCCAATCTTTCTTTGACGCATCTCGGATGAACGGCAGAGCAATGACATGACACCAAGCGCGATGACAAATTCAAGACCGAGATCATTTCCAAAGCTGTAAATAGGCATCATTCATTTGTTTTGAAAACAAGAACAGGGGGAAACATGGGAAAACACATGGCTTCAGACACAATAAATTGGCATAACTGTCTTCATATCGAGAAACGACCCCGCCAACGTATACCACCAAAGACCCAAATCTTGCCGCTAGACTCGATGATGGCTCGCGAGGCCATCTTGTCCAGAGGCGGAGCGTCAGGGTTGGCTGTGTCGTTGAACTCCGGCACCCCATGCCAGGAATCATCAGCCAATGTCGTATCCTTAGGATGTGTGATGTGGTGAGCAGCAAAACTGATCATGTTCCTGCAGTGTGGCACACAAAGCAGGAATGATGAAAATCGATCGAAATAAACCAGGATTCCATGTGAAACTGTTCATTGTAACCTGACACTATGCAAAGAACACTGTGGTGGAGGTTGTACAATGGACAGGCCCCGTGACAGCAACAAGTCACATCCACCCTTCATATCTTTACCAGCCTTTCACTAGATGCAAGCTGAACTCTCTGCAGCTGTGTTCCTTGTACATTTCTCTTCCAGCGGCGTGCTTCAAACAAATCCTGTTTACAAACTTTAGAACAAATTTTGAAACAAAACGCAAGGTCGAACAGAAGACCACCGATCACCATCCTGATTTACAACCTCGGCCGATCTGTATCCCGCAGCGACCGCCAACTCAGCAAATTAACAGAACAATGCAGCCCCACAACGTCTCAAGAACCTCTACACAACAGATCTGATGGTAATGGTGACGTTGATGTCGATGTTGATGATGATGATGATGGTGATGGTGATGGTTAAAGTGACGGTGATGAAGGTGATAATGATGGTGATGGTGATGGTGATGACGATGACGATGACAATGATGATGATGATGATGATGATGATGACGATGATGATGATGATGAACAAATCAAACAAGAAAAACATGATCAGTTTATCCTGGCAGCTGATCTTTGGAACAATTCTTTACACATCTTTCGATGGAAAACAAATCAACCTGTTCAGTCCCTGACAAACTGACAAAGTTTGCGACAGAACCTGGCACACCGAATCATTTTGATTGTTCTCTAAGCAATCAGGATAAGAATAGCTATCCAGGATGGATAGCTACCGAAGCAAGCAACTGATGTCGGGACAGAAAACTCGTTTATAGCAACTGTTGAACTAAACGAATCAAAAACAAACCATGCCAGGCGTCGAGAAAGTATGCGTTTCCTGAATATCCTTGTTGGTGGGCTGCCACACCGCCGACTAGCCAAAGACGGCCCGCTGCATCCATCACTGAAGCGTGGTGGAAAAGAAAACCCGGAAGGAACCCTGCAGTCTCCACCTTGGACCAGCTTTTCTTGTTCAAGTCCAAGACATGCAGTTCCTCCGAGCAAACCGAGGACTCATCTCGAGTCAAAAAGTCCTATCTCGGCTCCCAACTTTCCCTCGATCCCATTTCTTACGGGCTGCAAGCTCTTACTTTTGGAAAGGGATGTGGGTTTTCTCTTCTGATTATTGTTTTTTGGGTTTGGGGAGTCTCATTGTTTTTTTCTTTGGTTTTCTCAGTGAAAGCAAAAAAAAAATGCGCAGTTGACCGTATTTGCAAAAATTTGGCAGGAATTAAAAAAAACAAAGTCAGAATTGGAAACTGTTTGCTGCACTATCAATCTGCGAGAGTGGGGCAGGGGTGCAGCACGTCCCCCCAGATTCATCCGACGAATTTGGTGCTGCAAAAGTGATTTTGCCAAAAAAAAGTGAAATTCCCTTAGTGGGCACGAAAGATGCAATGTATTTGCGCAGCTAACGACACTTATTTCTCCAAACCTAATCACCCCATGTGGTCACTAAACGAAGGATGCGATGTTGTTGCACAACTGTGTGATTGGAATCATTTACAGATCATCTAGTATAAAATGATATAGAATGTTATCTGCCCCTGGCGCTGCCGTACGAGAGGATTTGATCTTGTTGCGAAACTGTATGTCCTTGCATATTAGTACTTGAAATCTATACTTAGAGGTTAAACAGCCTCAATCAGCCAGCAACACACACGCTTGTTTTGTTCTTGAGCCATAAGGTAAATGCATATACAAGGCATACAACTAGGCGTTACTTTACAGGGAGGTAATGGAGACTATACATAAGCACCATGTAAAAATACCCCCCGTTTACCGCAGCCGCTTGGCGGCTTTGGTAAAACTGCGCCTGGTGTACGCTGCCGCGATTCGACCTAAGTGAACAAGAAGATACATGAATGAAACACCTACGTCAAACTCGTGTGGCTCGAATGCGATGAGGCTCGGATGCATTGGATGTCAAGGCTTGCAACGAAGTTGACAGCGTCAAGTCGTATGCTCTTTTTGCCGGAGATAGGCACGATGTTGCACACAGCATGGCCGTGGCTCCCGCCAGGCACCTTCAAATGAGTGTAGGAACTTTACCATTCCTTTGATGTCACCCGAAAGGTACCATGGCAGGAAAAACTATACAGCCATGAAAATGGTGCGAATTAATCTGAGCTCTTGCCTTGAACATCCCATCGATTGGCTTGAGAAGTTATGGATGATATTTTTAATTCATTCAAACTGTGCGGAAATTTGTGCATTGAAGTTCACTTGGTTGGGATAATGCATAATGTGCGTCAAAGCTTTGGTTTGTTCAATGGGTGCAATGCCTGCCAAGTTTGTCATAGACAGGCATGCCTCCCGGCAAGCAAACTTGAAAAAGAAAGATATGACCTAAGCGTCAATGCGAGTCATCCCAAAGTTCAGGTCCAGCGCCAGTACCAGCCTCGCTGTTGATTCCAGTACCACGTGTAGCGGTAGCCCTGAACCCAGTAGGAATCTCCTTCAAAGTCACCATAGGCCACACCTCCCGGTGGGCTTCTGCCTTGCTTGCCCTTTCCCTTCTGCTGTCCCTTTCCCTTTGTCTGTCCTCCGCCTTTGTAGTGACCTTTTCCACCCTGGCCTTGACCGTAAGGACCTCCGCGAGCAGGCTTGCCAAGGTTTGGCTCGAATTGCTCGTGATGGGGTCGTTCATGTTCAGGTCGACTGATGGGCCCACTTGCATGAGGTAGACTGACCTCCCGGTCGTCGCCGGTGGTTTCAGACTCCTTGTGCGTCTGTTGGGAGGCATAGTTCGACCACTGCAGCTTGCTGAACTCCACACCAGTTCTTTCGCGATCTCTTTGGCATCAGAAGCATCAGGCACAAAGTCACGGTTGCCCCAGCCATAAACAATGGGTAGGGGTCGTTGAATCGGCTTGATGAATTTCGCCACATAGACTGCGAACTGGCCAATGTCGAGGAAGACGCCCCGATGTGACACAAACACCTCGGTGTGAAGATCCAAGGGTTGGTCGGGCTCCCGCTCCGACGATGGCACAAAAATCAACTTAAGGTGGCCATTTCAAGCTTCTCTCCAAGAACCTGAGCCTTGGTGCGCTCAATGGTCGGACTCACACAGCCAGCCAGACGCTCAATGAAGAGCAATGCCTCCGGCACCAAGTTTTGATTCGCCGCATTGAACTGAAAGAATGGGTCGCGGACGAGTCTGTCAACAAGGTCTTTGAAGCCCCTTTTCTTGAAAGATCTGACGTAGTTGCGGGCCATGTCTCTCAAGTTGCCATAGCATAGGTGCTTCTGGTCCGGACGGCGGTCGAAGAAGATGAAGATCCCTTCTCCGGCTGCCTGGCTACTCTGCCTCTCCGAGGGTGGTTGAAGATCACCTTGTCCATGGAGAAGGGCACACCTCTGGTACGGGCCATTGCCTCCCGGTGGGCAACCTCTGTGGCGATGTTGGCATCCGTCACGGGTTCCATTTGTCTAAAACACCGTGGACATTTCAAATGCCCGTCCATCATGAGGTATCCGCAGATCGGGTGGCTGCAACGCACCTGAGGGGAGTCTTGGATCTGGTTGTAGGAGATGTCCTTGAATTGCAACTCAAATCCAACTCGGCCCTGTCCTCGATTCCAGTTTCCACCACCGGGTCCGTTCCGCCCACGACGCTGAAATCCACATGCATCAGTGCTCGTCATGGCGGCCATCTTTGCAATGGTGTAGCCGGGCACCAGCTGAGAACCTGATGCCGGCTCACCCTCCCGGGTGGCGGTGCTTTTCTCCACTTGGATGTCTTCGCGCCTGGAGAAGGGGAGGAGCTTGCCAAACTCAATGCGCTCTTTGATGCCTTCAAAGTTCAGCTGAGCATTCTCCATCAGCATTTCCATGCGGCTCATGAGGATGTCATCGGGATCAAACTCGGCCTTGGCCTGTTTGAGGACCTCCTGGTAGGTCTTCCGATGGTTGACATAAGCCCTATTGATGTAGAAAAACTCGCCAGAGCGCATATCGAAGGCGTTGATCATCGGGAGGTTCGAGATCCAGTCTGGCGACAGGATGGCCTCGTCAGTCGCGAAAAGTTTGTAGCCCATTTGCATCATGAGCTCCATGTCGAACGCGATGGCGATTGGCCTCCCGGCCCGCGTACCTTGCAACTTTTTCATTTCCGCTTTCCAGGGCGGTGTGGAGTTGAAAAAGTTGTGGGCTCTGCCCGTCTTGTACGGGAATCCGTCAGGGATGAGGCCGAACTTGATGATGGAATTGAAGGCGGCTTGGTCACAGGTGTGATACACCACTCTGGGGAACTTGTGCCACACAGGCGAGCCTTCCGGCATCGCGAAGAAAGTGGGGTGAACTGATGGGTCGTCAACCTTGGTCTCGTCGAAGTTCTCATCAAAAGTGAACATCGTTTTGATCATGGTCGACATCCCCCCTTGCTCCACGAGAAAGGCCCGATGGCCCTGAATGGCCCTGATCCTCACTGGCGTCCACCTGAGCTTTCCGGACGACAATCCATTCACCTGGACTCTGAAGCGGCGCATCGGTGAGTTGCGCACTACCATCAAGACTTCTTCTTCTCGGAGATGCGCAAAATCTCCTTGGAGATGCCTCACCAACGCCTTGAAGTCCATTGACAAATCAGTCCTCCGAATCTCTGGTGAAGGCCTCCTGTGAAACAAGCGGTGGCCACGGAGGTAGTCGGACATAGCATGGGAAATTGAGCTAAGCCTTCCGTAGTCCACCTTCCGCACAGGGACTCCTGCCATGTTGTCCGGCTCAATCCACACCAGATCCTGTGCCGTGGCAAATTTCGACGTGTCGAACTGCTCAGTGCTCGGGCCATGTCCCTCATCGACAACCTTCAATCTCTTGGGCATGGCCTTCTTCGCCGGCTTGGACTTTGGCTTGAGCTTGGCGGTCTTCGCCGATGATGCGCTCTGAGCCAGGTCGGTCTTCCACGTCTTTGCCGATGACGAGCTCTGAGCCATCTCCGTCTTCCAGGTCTTCGCTGATGCCGTGCTCTGGACCATCTTGTTGCCCTGATCATCAACATCCATGGGCTCCGGGTCCCCCCGTGCATCAGACTTCTCGGCCTGCATAGAAGAGACCTTGTCGATCACGGCCATGTCATCATCGTCATCATCGTTGATCGCCTCGGCCTGCCCCTCCTCGACGTCGTGGAACTCCTCTTCATCGACAATCTCCACCGAAGCCACTGTCTCGAGGTCGTCAAGGTCGAGCTCCTTCTCTTCTTCGTGAACTGGATCACTGGCCACGACTCCCGGCGGGCGTTTGTCATCTTCGATGAGGTCCCAGCCCCTCCTCCTCCTCATCCTCGGCCGCATAGGTATCATCTTGCCACTCCTGATCATGCTCTTCGGAGAGGCCTTGTCGCCTTGCCTGAATTCGGTCTTCCATGGTGAGAGCCTGGACCTTGACCGCCTCATCATCAGAATCAGCGTTGTCTTGACGCATCGGTTCCAGTGCCTGGTCCTCTTCAGGAATGTCTCTCATCCAGGACTCGACCTCCCGGTCGGCAGAGGCTGTGGCGTTCTCCTCAGCTTGGAGCACCCAGTTGAAAATCTCGATGTCTGCATCAAGCATGATCTTCTCAGGATCGGGTCGTTGAGGAAGATCTTGCGGTGAGGAGACATTCGAATCGATCTCGAGCTGGTACGCGGCCTTCAGGATGGTGAGGTTTGGGTAGTTCTTTTGCTCCTGGAGGTCCTCGATTCTTGGAAGTGTCCTCAAATGGTCGTCGACGCTGATGAGCTTGAGGTAGGAGAGGTGGCAGTCAGCGACGGCTTGAAGGAAGTTGGTAACATACTTCCGATTGATGGCATCATCTTCCAAGTGAACCTTGTCGTACCTCACAGTCCGGGCAAGCATCAGGGTAGTGTCGAGGGTTTGGATGCCATGGTCCTCGCGCAGTGCCTTGATGTGGACGCGCATGGTCTCGTTGTAGGCCGACGGGAGAGCAAAGATGTCCGCGTCGGCGTTCCCCACAACCACGATGTCCAGGATTCGGGGTTCATCACGTTTGAGCTGGCCCAAGTCATTGACGGACCGCTCAACCCTTGCCTTTTGCCGCTCACACCAGTTGGCCGTGACCTGGTCGGCAGCAGATTTGTTGTAGGCAGCCCTGTGAATCCAATGGACACCTCTGTAACCCCCTTCGCCATATACATCATTGCCGGCCCACCCAACGATGATCAACACCGGAAGAACCGGACGACCATGGGCACGATTGGTGGACTCGATGTCATCGATGGCCTCGGGGATATACTGGACCATATGATTCAATCCCTTGCCCCACAGCATTTTGGTATATATGCCACGGATGTCTCCCCAGGGTTTGAGAAGATCGCCTCCGGAAAAACATGAAGCCTTCCCTGCATTGGGGTCAGGTACCAGAGCCAAAGATGAGTCTGATACAATCAGCAGGTCGACCTCGCCTCCCGGCGGGTAAGGGCACATTGCCAAAAAGCCATCGGGCGTGTTCTTGAAGACCTCCGCCAACGTGTCGTACGCCCCTTCTGCATTGCCACCGCCCAGCATCGGCTCGACGATGTTCGCCAGGGGGAGTCGACAACCTTCCATCTCTCGTAGGAGCACCTGTGGGTCGTCCCAGGTCGCCACCGCGATGGCTCCCTTCAGGGTATTGACCACACCTTCCCATTGGGTGATGCGTTCGAGGATGGCGGGCCTCCCGGCAACCGCGCAGGCCTTGGCCATTTGGATTGCACGAGTCAACATGACGACAACGGGAGAGCGAAAGGGCGCGATGAGTGCACAGCAAGTTAGCTTGAGAGCGGGATGCTGACGGGTAAGAGCCTTATGTATGGCGTCTGTCATGCGGAAAGTGTACTCTTCTGTTTTCTTAAGAGCAATACCTCTGCCTGGTGCGTGACGCCTGTTGCATGTGCATTGGAACTTCGATAATGCTCTACCGACTCCAGCATGATTTGTGGCCACTGTCCAAGGCTTCTTCAACGGGTCATTGTCTTGATTCACCATTCCAAGAGCACAACCGTCAAAATGGTATGCAATCATTTCATACAAACTCAGAAGCTTTGCAACTTTAGCCAGTTTCCAATATCGACATTTTCGTGGCCACTCAAGTGCAATGGTACTTCACAGTTCAACATCCGAAGGAATGATTTCAAGGAAATCCAAAGTCGGTCAAACTCTCTGACGTGTTTCAAAACCTTTTCACGTGCACTGGGGTTTTTCATGTTGATATATGTCCATGGTGTACCCCCCGTGCACGCTAGGCTAATCCATATGAATGGTTTCACATCACCTTTGAAAGAGTTGACATACTCTGCAATCCTCATTTGGTTTTCAACTTCGTTAAGATCAAATTCTTCAGTGAACTGTAGTACCTCACAACCTTCAGACCACTTTCGATTGGTTTGGCTGAGTTTGGATTCGGGATGACAGCAAACTTCAACGATCAGTCTCTTGGCGTCAGACTTGGCAGCGGGTCCCCCCGAGCTTGGTGCAGCAATGCTTGGAGGTATACAAGGAGCCGCCCCCAAGTTATGTTGAAGTTATGCATGTTATAAATTAAGTTAAGGAAGTTATGTTGAAGTTATGTTAAGTTAAGGGTGGATATAAGTAAGTTATAACTTTGCTATCTTTTTTGTATCTTTTTAGTTTTGCATTTGTTCATTTCGAGGAAAAACGTTGTTTTTTGTTTTTTTGGTGGAGTTGTCAAATTGCAGCAATTTCACCTCTTTTTTCCGCTTGGCCAGCACGGCAACGGTCAAAGTTGCTAATTGGATGCACTCATGGCAAACATTGCACGTGCATATGAATTCCCTCCGCACAGACCGCCAGGACGAAAAAAAGGAGGGAAAAAATTACAGCAGCGAGCCGTTCGACTGCGCACCCAAAACTCCTGCTTGAGACTGCAAAAGTTGCGGAGAATCTTGTTCCTTTTTCTATAGTTTTCGGTGTTTGTGGCAAAATACATTGGTACATTTGCTTCCGGGGCTTGCAAAGTACAATATACATACGCGTTTCCTTGTCTCTACAGGAATATACATACGAGTTTTTGGGTTTTCTTTTGCTTTGAAAGCAACATACATACGCGTTGTTTTTTTGCGATGTTACCTTGTGTGAAAAAATACAAAAAAATACCAAAAAATACGTTAAACATACATTCCCGATATAGCATATCAATCAAGAAAAATACGAGGATAGATGTGAAAACACATATGCGTTGCATGATTCGTCTGGGCAAATACATACGTATCTTTTATTTTTCCCTTTGATTTTCAAAATGCACATACGCGTTTTGTCATATTCCTTGCTAACCGTACTCCCTTGACCTACAGAGAATCTTTTTTACTCCGAAGCTGTCTCTCGGAGCTCCCTTGCAAGATGTTCCAAACGTCTTGGGTCAAATACAGCGGAAAGCGTGCCCACTGTTGCATTTGAGCCCGAGGCTGCTCAGAAGCAGCTATTTGAGCCCGAGGCTGCTCAGAAGCAGCTTGAAGCAGACCCGCCCCTTGCATGGCAAAAAGGCCCCAAAAACCCGAAGCGCTCGCCAAAACTGAGAAGAAACGCTAAATTTGAACCACACGCAGCAAAAGATCACAAAATGAAGCCAAAATGGCAAACCGAGCTAACTTTCAAAAGTTGAAAACAAAAAAGTTAACTTTGCTAACTTTTTTGTATCTTTTTTGTATCTTTCCACTTAAAAGATACAAGTTACCTTATAAGTTCATAACTAAGATATAAGTGTAACATAAGTTATGGAATTTATAACATGAGATAACCCTAGTTATAACATATGTTAACCCTGGTTATAAGTCAAGTTATAAGTAGGGGGTGCTCCTTGTAATGGCCTCCGTTGCCGATGCCAAAGCTTTCTGTGGGGTTACTTTCTTGGTGGGGGTTAATGCAAGAAGTTTGACAGCTAGTCTCCACTTTTCTGCACTAACAAATGGCTTAGTGAGAATGTCTGCAGCTTGGAGCATGCTGGGACCATGAACTAGCTTGTACCACCTTCTTTTGAATTGTTCCTCCAACCAAGATAGGTTAACTCGCTGTGTTTTGTCTGTGTGTCGGAAAGTGGGCGATTTTCCGTTCTCAAGGATTCTAATGGTAGCCTGATTGTCCTCTACAAATACACCCTTTATCGACCGTGGGGAAAACATTGAAATCATACATTCTCCCTCTTTCTCACGTCCTACGAACTCGTAGTCGGTGATGGCTTCACGGATTTCGACGGATTCGATGTTGTAGTCGGACTCATAGGGACCATAAACCCTGAAGAAAGTCTTGCCAGTCCACTCCCCATTGATCGGGTAGTCAACTTTGACCTTCCAATTGTCCTGCATGAAGTCAACCGTTCCGTCCTTTAGCATCACGGTGGTTCGAGCACATCCGATACGCTTAAGGTTAATGGGTGACTTGGACATGTCAATGGGTGTGAACAAATGTGACCTTGGTTTTGTGTGGACTCGGATAAGCAACCTTCTACTTCTCATGAATTGCCAGTATTCCCCATTGGGTTCTTTTTGGGTTTCAATGTCATGCCTTGGCAAACCTCCCGGAATGCTGTCTTTTGCTATTCTCTCCCCCCCCCGCGTTCTGGAGGTATGCCCACAAACCGGAGGAAGGTAGACCGACAGCTCTGAGGGATACGTTTGCACTCACAACTTCACTTTCAGTGCTTGACATTGCAACGGCAGTTTGTTTCTTACTGAATGCTGTGAGCGGGAAGTGCGTGTTGGGTCCAACTAGAACTAACAAACAACCACTGGTGGATCGATTGTCGTACTCTCCTGCATGGTCTGCGTCGGCAAATAGCCAAAGCCTACATTCACTCACCTTGTCCCCTATGAAAGCTCTTTGTTTGTGATCCAGGGTGGAATTAATGTAACAAATAAGTCTGTGCAGTGCCTTGTCGCACTCTGCACTCCATTTTGTCACACGAGCTGCCAGGCCTTGAACGGCTCGCAGCAAGTCAAAACGTGCCATCCTGGCTGCAAATAGCACTTTCATAAGGACCCTTGCGGCTATTGGAGCCAATACGCCTTTGGTTTCCTTCTCATCGGCAATGGGCCGTGCAATTCTTTCTTCGTGGAATGGTGTGGAAACTTGTTTCAAAGGCTTGGCATCCCTGCCAGCAAGTGATAGATAACGATCAACACATGATTTTAGGAAAGGCTCCATATCATATGTGAAAGTAGTCACAGGCTTTTGCATGCAGGGTTGGTTCTCAAACAGTTGGTCCATATACGAAAAACCTTCCGCTCTAAGTCTAGCTTTCTTTTTGGCTCCGGACTTGTCCCTCTTGATGGTAGCCATTGCAACCTTTGGATCTTTGCATGATGTGGGGAAGAAGTAAGTTGTGCCTACCCAAGAATCATTTAGGCTACCCCCTTTGTTCACGTTGGATCCAATTCCAATAGTGTCCCATTGTTCAACTTCATTTCCATTGTTGTTGCATGGGATTGCATTCGTGAACCTAAATGGGGCTAAATGGCACGTTTTAACAACTTCCTCATCGGGCAAAAATAACTTCTTCCTTGGCTGCACGTGGTGTCTCATGTAGACATCGTTGACGGTGTCAAGCTCCCAGAAATCCTGAGTCCTGTGGCACGCGGCGGCGGCAGGCGCGGCCGGGTCGGCCAGTGACTTGTCAAAGACATGAGCGTAAGGGTGATCCTCGACCTTGAGCTTTACGTTGTGTTGGGCTACATGGTCGCATCCAAGATATCTATTGACTTCCTCGGGAGTGTCCATGTCAATCTTTGATGCAATCAAACTCCATCCCTTCGACATGTTTTCTTTGGGGCCGGACATCTTAAAATCATCAACGTACACGACAAGCAACAGTTTGAGCTCTGGATGGAAAAACACCGAAGGCCACCCTTCCGGGTCTGGCATGATAAAGCCCACTAGTTTCAACATGGCTTCACAGTAATGTTCCCAGAGTCCCCCCGAGTCGGGGTGACCGTAAAGAGCGATGCGAAGCAATACAACTGGTCTAGTGAACTTACCATGCCACTCTTTGGGCCATCGATCGGGTGGCAGTTCCACCCACGTCTCTACGCCCTTCCATAAGGCTTGAGTGTAAGCTTGCACTCCGTCATTTTGTTGGGTTATGAATCCCGGTTGAGCTCCGTAGGCATCCACTGCTTTGCCAGCTTCCATAGTGGCAGGTGAAGAACCTAATTCAGAGAACAGTGCAACATCGGCACTTTCGTCCTTTACGTTGTTGCCTTGAAATACTGTTCTTCCTTTGAATTTCCGGAGTTTATCTCCCTCGGGTAATTCACTTCCCTTTTCAACGCAAATCTCAAAGACCTTTCCTACGTGGACCTTCTTCCCAGTCTTTTTGGCCTTGTCGGCAATGACCTTCCATTCGGCCACTGTCTCATATTGCCATGCCTTCTTCTTTACCAGTTTCTCCCATTCCACATCTAGAGCTTGCTGGGCTTTGGGATTGGCTCTAATTTCCTTTTTCCCGACTGGCCTAGCCACTAAAGTGTTAACGGCTTTCTCCCCAGATTGGATTCCTAGCCTAATACACTTAACTCGATGCTTCTGAGGGTTCATCTGGCAAACAGGCATTGCTGGGATGAATTCGTAGGATAAACATTCTTCCAACTCATTCGGTGATTCTTTGAGAGTTCCGATCATGGGTACAGCTTTCACTCGTTTGGCGCGTTTCTTTTCCTTTTCTTCCAGGGCTAACTTTCGTTGCTCATCTGCTATCGATGCCCTTCTTTCTTTCTGAGACATTGCTTGCCATACAAATGGAGGGATGTCCTTTGGTTTGCTTGAATTCTTGTACTTTCTTGCTTTAAAACCACCTGCGTCATAGAATGAGGGGTCATTGGTCCTGATTCTTTCAAGCTCCCCTGTAATCGGATTGATTACCTCGACCTCTTCATCAGGCACAGCTCCTCTGATGGGCTCGTCCACGCGGTTCCTCAGGTCGATCGGTTCTTTTGAGAATATTGTGACGATTACCTCATGAACCTCAATGTCCTTTTCAAGGTCTTCGACCGGAGGATCGATTTTCAAATTTTCTTCGTGGACATGCCATGATTCATCATCTTTAATGCATGTTGTTCGAAACGGAAAGTCGGCTGCATCAAAGTCGGGAGATGGACCTATACATTGATTGTCGATGATCCGAACATTCACTTTGCAATTGGCATATTCGTACCATGCCTCCTTGTGGTCAACATGCTTGAAAAACTCTAACCATCCCTGGTGATAAACAGCGGATGCACTGGACTGTTGGGCAGGTTGTCCAGCTTCAATGTCAGTGATTGTTCTTTTGGCTGGGCCTGGCTCCCGCACAGGCTGAGCGTCTTGCTCTTCCGGTGGCGGTAGTGCATCCTGGTCATCACACAGTTGGTTTGGTTTCAAGCTACCTTCTCGGATGGCATCGGCACGTTTGCGACAGGGAAACTCAATTCTCTCAGGAATAGAAACCTTTAACACCCTCAACACCGTGACGGATTGGTCAAAATCTGCATCATTGATTTGCTTTAGAGAAGCTACTGCAAATTCCTTTCTCCAATGGAAGCCTGGATGGATAACATATCCTAGGAAGATACCGGGTTCAGAGGTCGGTTCGAACTTCATCTGCTTTTTGGGTTTCTTCCGAGGTCCAGTCCAGTAGTCCACCTTACATCCAAACGGGATAAGTGGTCCTTCGAAGTCTGTCCCAAATCTCAATTTCCATGGTGTGTCCTTTCCAGTTCCATCTGGTGCTGTGTCATGCATGATGCACCAATGTCTGGCGGCATAGGGCCAGTATCCATGGTGAAGTCCTGCTTGAAGCAAATTTGCACGTGTTCCTTCCAACGTTGACCGCACGGCTCGTTCGGCGATGGCATTGGATGTTGAAATGTAATCTTTACTGATTTGATGCCTGATCTTCATTGCTCTCATAGCTGCTACAATCTCAGGGGCATTGTCACTGTAAAAGATTCCAATTTTCTCCAAGTCATCAACGAAATGTTTCATCGCCAGTGTGGTGTTGGATGTATCACGACGTGCAACGGGGTAAACATATCGAAAATCAGTGGCAACATCCTTAAATACCATTGCGACCCTGTCCCCGTCTACACCGGTTTCGGGGTCTGATTTGGCAATGAGGTGGTCACCCGTGACATGATCCCCAAACTTCTTTGCGTCAACCATGGATGATCCTCCCTTAGAGTATCCAGGTGGCTTGTACATCTTGGCCTTTGTGCAGACATCACAGTAGGGGTTCTTAGGAATATGGGTAAGCATGTGTCGTTTGCTCTTAGCTTCAGCCTTGAGTGCGGCCTTACCCCTTTCCCTACGTCTTTCCATTTCCGGGTCACGACGGACGTCATCCCTTGATTCATCAACCTCATCAGGCTGGACCTCCCGGTCAGCTGGTGCAATGCCTTCTTCATCGGAGGGCGCATCGGCACCGGGATCGCCTGAGATGTCGGGTACAAGGTCGTCATCAAGCTTTGATGAATTACCACCTACAACAGCGGGTTCGTCATCTTCATATTCATCGTCGTAAAGGTCCGGTGACGGGGGTGAATCTTCCTCTTCCATGAAGCCTGACTCGGGCCCAGAAGAACTAGCCATCACTTTCACTCTTTTCATGGGAGAACCATTGTTGTTGGATTTTGCCACTGTGGACACACTTGAATGATTGGATTTGGAACATAGATATGGGACATAGTCTCTGACTTCAAGTTCTATGACTTTCCCATCAGGTGATACTAATTTCGGCTTCTCATTCTTGGAGCCCCTCCACACGAAGTCAAACCCATCCTCAACGCACCTGAGACCAACTGATAAAACAGGAGGTGAACTTTGCACTAGGTACGGTGACACTGTAGCATTCAGTTCTGGGACTCTCACCTTGCCCTGCTTCATAGATGAACTTTCCCCATTTGCAGTGATGAGACGGATTGGATTATCAGAAAAGTAACCATAGTGGTCGGGCACATGATGATCAGTGAGTAAGTCTTGTGCACTACCGGTATCAACAATCCAATCAATAGAGGCTTCAAAACATCCATCAACGTACTCTTCAGATTTGGCAGGCATTGCAACAATCCCCTTTGGGATACAGTGATCACATCCAAACATGGTGTCACATTCGTAGTTGCATTTGCAGAAATTGTTCATTAACGAATTCTTGACTGCTCCTGCCAACATGTTCGCTGACAAACATGCGTCCTCTACGTCTCTTCGATCGAACTCAAATGGATAGTCGATTGGGAATGTTCTTTTATATCTTCTTGAAGCTGGATTGACAGGCACAAGGTCCCCCTTGGCAACGACTTGATACACATCATGATTGGTGTTGAAAGTCACTGCTGGGCAACCGATCACGTCAATGGGCGGCAACAGGCATGCATTGGACACGGATGCTAACATCGAGGCAATCAGGCAGACAGCTGCTGGGGAAGCTTTGGGAGTGTCAGGCTTGCCTTTATTCCCCTTTGGGGAGCGGCTATTCCTGGGACTCCTTGATCCCTTCTGCTTTGGCGAGCGGTCCCTGCCTTTTCCTGGACTTCTGCTGTTCCTTCGTCTGGATCCTTTCGAGTCATTGGATGAAGGCCTAGCAGGAGTGGCAGCACGACGAGATTTGGACTGTTTGCCCTCGTGACTAAACCTACAGTCATTGCCTCTGTTACATCTTCCCTGTTTCCAAAATTTGCATGGCTGCTTCTTCTTGTTTTTATCGTTCTTACCCCTTGACGGTGATCTGCCACGATCGGATGAGGGTCTTGATTGACTTCTATCTTTCTTTGGTGGAGGCTTTTCATGCTTGAATGGGCAGGCATCATTCGTGCAAGTACCTTTGTTCCATTTGACACAGTACCCCTTTGGAATGTACCCAGTCTTCTCACCCACAGCCGGAGCTGCGCTGGACGACGAGGCACCGAGGGTCCTGGCAACTCGTTCACGATTGGACTCGAGTCGCTCCCTGTCCAAGTAGCGGCGAACTGGTGTCACTAGGAAATCGTAGGACTTCTTGTCGGTCCCTTCCTCAGCACGATGATATTCCTGCAAGTCGTGTGCTATTGCTTTGCTGTTTTTGACTTGGTTAAAGAACAGAGTCTCCAGAATGCTAATCTCAGGAACTTTGGGGATACCAGCCATTACTTGATCCCAATTGCTGATGAATCCATGCAGGTTGTCACCTTTGAGTTTGACACTGAACAAGTCCTGTAGTGAGTAGGTCGCTCCATGTTTGATGTTGGTACTGAAATGTTCATGCATCATAAACAGCACTTGTCGACCTCTCACATATCGATGGTTTGTTGCTTCAGTCTCCTTATAAGTGTCAACCTTTCTCGCAAAATCACCTGTGAGAATATTGGTGAGTGCAGACAGCAATTTGGCATCCAATGTAGTGAACTTGCCTACGTCACGAAGAGCCCCAATTGTTTGGCCTTCCTTCCAGGTCTCACTTATCCAATCAAATGCTTTGTCAGGGTCAGTTGAAGCCGACATTACAGCTTCCCTAGTACGGATTCTCCAGTTTCTGTATGATTCCGCATGGGGAAAGGCTGGCACTTTCACAGTATCGGCTTCTTTGACCTTGTTCTTTTCATGTGATTGGTCCCTGGAACCGCCAAACATGGCTCTCATGCGACGGATGAAACGGTGGTCACTATCATCAGAGTTGTACCCATCCCCGTCTCCATCATCATCATCTCCGTCCCCAGGCCCACCTCCCGGTGGGCGTTGGCTCCCCGAAGGGTGCTTCTTCCCACGCTTGTCCTTACCACGCCTGCTGTCATGATCCGCATCAGAGTCCTTGTCATCATCTGGAGGATCAGGTCCTGGTGGTTTCCCCCCCGTATCCGATTGCGCAACACTCGTTGGTGGATAGGTAGGGGATCTAAGACCTGTGATCTCCGTGACGGGATCATTATTGTCCACTGGTACATTTCCCTGTGTCAAGCATCTCCCATATGTCTTGGTTGGGAACCGCTGGTTTGGGGGCACTTGCGGATGCAAATGACGGCAACGGTGCAGAATACTTGACCTCAGTGGATGGCGGTATGATGGCAGTGGCGGTCTGGACAACTGGAATTGGCATTGGGCCTATTGTGTCAAGGAGTTTACTCATCCTCATATTCATGGATTCGGTCTGCAACTGTTGGGCCCTTATTTGCTCACTCTGTTGCTTGATGATGGATTCGAGTTGGGACATCTGCATTCTACGGTGTTCATCTTGGCGTTCATAGTGATCCCTGAGTGATTGGATTTGCTGGTCCTTTGTTGCATTCGATTGTCTGGCATTTCCGTCTAAAACCCTTTTGTATACTTCCCCCTGTTGTGCGAGCTCTTCACGAAATTGATTCTCCCGACCCTCTGCGAGCATCATCATCTGATGCATCCGGGGGCTCGCAGCTTCTTCCTCTGCATGGAACCTACCACTCATTTCACGCATCATCGTTTGCATCATGCTTTCAGTATTGGCCAAAGCCTCACGATGACGTGCCTCAGCGACCTGCTCTACCATCTGTGTAATTGCAGGGTCATGCGAATTCACGTACACTTCATTGTTTTGTACCTGTCGTAAGTTCATGGTGTTATTCACTTCAGTCATCTCGTGATGGTGAACCTCGACAGTGTTGGATTGTACATGATGTGAGCCGGCAGGCATGCCCTCCCGGGATGCGTGGAAGTCGTATCCTCGGTGTGAAAACCTCTGCGCTCCACTTTGGGGCACGACGGCGCCTGGTGGAAGCGGGGTACGGACTTCACGCTTATCACTGCGGGAACGTTCTGAGGGAGTCTGGGAATTCGTGTTGATGGGATTGTCACTTGCAGTTTTGCAGTCGTCTGCATCCTCGATTGCCATGGCTTGTGAAACTCCGGATGGGTGAGTTCCTCCCGGCGATGGTTTACCAGGAGGGGCAGACATATTAGTGACAAAAGGAAGTATCTGGCGATACGGCTGATAACCTATACTTAGAGGTTAAACAGCCTCAATCAGCCAGCAACACACAAGCTTGTTTGTTCTTGAGCCATAAGGTAAATGCATATACAAGGCATACAACTAGGCGTTACTTTACAGGGAGGTAATGGAGACTATACATAAGCACCATGTAAAAATAAAATCATCTAGTTCCTCCATTAGAACAAATTCCAAGAATTCTATCACCCATTGTGGCCACAAGCGAAGGATGTGATCTATCTTCTTGTCTGCTTGCATGCAGCATGCGCATGCACATGCAGCAGGCTAAAATAAAGCAAGCAGGAGAGGGGTTGACGGAAGGGCGCCATGCTTCCCAGAAGCATGACAGGAGTTCTGTTTGTTTTCTTCTTTGCTTTCCTTCTTTTTCTTTCCTTCCATCGTTCTATTCTTTCCTTCCATCGTTTTACCCTGGGTCCTTACTTCCTTCCTTCCTGTCTTTCAGATGTTCAACTTGCTGCGACTGACAGAAAATGACAAAACACATGTCAGAACCAATGCCATTTGCAGAAAATTACATCACAAAATCCTGAGATCCATTGACCACTAGGTTTTCGCTGCGCTGAACATCAAATGACATGCCTAACGCAACGCATCGTTGCCTTCAAGAAGGCATCTAATCCATCAGGTCCACTTCTCAATGCGTTGCCGCCATAGACCCACATGCGACCATCTGCGCCGATCACGGCCGAGTGCCCTTGACGAGGTGCAGGTTTCTGTCCCTCGCAGCTGATCTCGCTCCAAGTATGGGCCTCGGACCAGTCAGTTGCGAACGCAAAAAACGGGTGCTGGGGGACACATACGCCATGACACTTGGGAAGTTCACCTTGGGGGTTTTTGGTTCTTCTAATTGTTAGCAGACTGTAGTCCCGAACAGCCAAACAACGCTCGTTCGACAATGCAAGTTCAGCATCAAGCTGGTAGTTGAAGCAAATTCGGGTCGTTCGTGAGTTTATGATTCTCATGTCTGTCACTGGGGTCAACAGGGGAAACATGGCCTTGCTTCTGGAACACCCCAGACGAGGGCTTCTGGAAATGATCCATCTTCTAGTTTGTTTTGGTGTTGTTACCCGGGCGCCTCATTGGTGTGATTTGCAACCCTGGACTCACGCCACTGCAGCAAAGAAGTACAACTGGATCACAGCTGCAAACCCTGCCTCGATGTCAAACGCATGGACATCGTTGACAAAGTCGTTATCAGCTGCAGACCCTGGCGCTGCCTGCGGCAAACGCTGGCACATATGTCATTGCTGGTATCACTGTGCTGAGGTCCCTTGAGTTCCTTCGGAGGTTCCAAAAAACCCTGAGGGCCAGCAGAGGACCATCAACAGGTGACACCCTCAAAGATTTCAACATCCAAACGTCTCCGGCTCCTTCGGAGGTATTGCACTATAGGACTTTAGTCATCTGCAACTTTTCTTTTGCAGAACTTTTTGCTGATGCTCAAACAAACTCCAACAGGTTTGAAGCTACAGGTCGACCACCGATTCTTTTCAAACAAATGTCCACCCGTCGCCAAAAGCAACCTTTTTTTTGTCAGCACAGGCCTTCGTAACCCCGCCAAAGATCCACATGAAACCTTCATAATAGACCGCAGTGTGGAACAGGCGATTTTTTGGTTTTTTCTCAGGCTGCACTTGGGACCACGATTCCGAAGTGGCGCCCTCTTTGAGACCAATGTAGACCAGTTCGGTCGCCAACCTTAGGGAAAATCTGGAAGCACCTAAACACATGCTTGATGTCGCTTTAACAAACTGGAAGTTTCATCACCTTTCCCAAGGCAGAACCATCGGCAACTCAGGGCTCTGGCTCTGTGGGTAACCCATTTCTCCTACCACAAACTAAGAATAAACTCTGAACATCCCTGCTTTCGGATAAAACATGAAATAAAAGGAACGGATAACCCCACATGTTAAGCTTTCCAAGGGAAAATATAAAACGAAAAACAGACAAGAAAAACATGAAAGTTGAAATATTTCCTGCCGGGAAAAGATAACAGAAGAGAGAATGCAACGGAAAGAAAACACATGAAAGTTTGAAGAACTCATGAGGAAAAATGTCAACGTCGAAAGAAAAAAGGTAAAAAGGGAAATGAGAGGCAGAGACAAAGGCAAAAGGCGGCACCCAGGCGACCATTACGCGCCGCAGCTACAGCAGAGCCTCCTTGACAGCTGCAGGCAAAACATCCCCGTGGGAATCCGCCCACACCGCTTTGGCGGTGAAGGCGTGCTTATTGGGGGGCAAAACAGCAACACTAAATGCTCAATGACATTTGTTAATATAGCAGTCGCTATATCAGCTTTAGCTGGGGGGGGGGGCCAAAAACGGTTTCGCACCGAGACCAGAATACGGTGGTGTTTTCGACATTTTTCGAGGATTTTTGGGTGTCTGAGCGCAAGAGGGTATTGAAATGGAATTTTGGGTCATTTTGGTAGCTTTCCGGCAATGGAAAAACGGCCAAAAATGAAAAAAACATTGTACATAGCAAGATTTTGCAGGGTTTTTGGATGCCAGAGCATTGAAAACACTGCAAAAACAAGTGTTTTGGACTGACGTTATAGCAAAAAACGTGTAAATTACCGTATGCTTGACTGGAAACATTACAAAAACACTGTCAAAAGCAATGTTTTGGAAGGATTTACTGCCTTTATGGCAAAAAACGTGTAAATTACCGTCTGTTTGACTGGAAACATTGGAAAAACACTGTCAAAAACAATGTTTTGGAAGGATTTCTTATATATATGTTGGAGTTGGCTACCGGCATTGGAACATGGAAAAATTGAAGAAAACACTGTAAATAGCGGTATTTTCAACGGTTGGGGAGATAAGGGAATTGGAAGCATTGTCGAACATGATGTTTTCGACCGGTTTTATGGCGACAAAAGTGTAAAGTACCGTGCTTTGAAGGAAACCATTGCAAAAACATGGAAACACATTCAAAGAACACGGGATTTGGGGGACTATCTAGGCGTCGTTGTCTAGCTATTTGAAATTCCGCAGCTTGGAGAGCCTCCAAGGGAGGGAAAAGTGAAAATTCCATAGCTTGGGAAGCTGTCACGGCGGGGAAAAGTGAAAATTCCCTAGCTTGGGAAGCCCCCACGGGGGGGAAAAGTGAAAATTCCCTAGCTTGGGGAGCCCCCACGGGGGGGAAAAGTGAAAATTCCCTAGCTTGGGGAGCCCCCACGGGGGGGAAAAGTGAAAATTCCCTAGCTTGGGGAGCCCCCACGGGGGGGAAAAGTGAAAATTCCCTAGCTTGGGGAGCCCCCACGGGGGGGGGAAGTTAAAATTCTTAGCTTGGGGAGCCCCCACGGGGGAAAACCACCCTTAGCCCCTCTCACGGACCTAAATAAACCTGCGGTGTGGGCGGCCACCCCACGCGAAGCGGGGTGAATTAAGGTTCATGGCCAGGCGTCACCATTCTAGAAACTTTGTTTATAAAATTAAAACCCCAAGGGTTTTCTGACTTGCTAGGCAACGCAGGTGCTTCGTGATCAGATGAGGTTGGGTGGGACTGTCAACGCACGTTGCATGTGCTACGCCATTGATTTGCTGCGCAACGCAAGTGCTCCGTTATCAAATGGGGTATGGTGGGGGGGAGGCTGCTAACGTACGTTGCCCTTGCTACACCACTGATGTCCTATGCAACTCAGGTGCTTAGCGCTTAGATACCAAAATGACCGCACGCACGCGCTCCTGACAATGCGGCTTTGCTGGTGGTCATGTTGATGTTGATGTCTTTGATGATGATGATGATGATGGTGATGATGGTGGTGATGATGGTGATGATGGTGATGATGGTGATGATGGTGGTGGTGATCGAAATGACCGCACGCACACGCTCCTGACAATGCGGCTTTGCTGCTGGTGGTCATGTTGATGTTGATGTCTTTGATGATGATGTCTTTGATGATGATGATGATGATGATGGTGATGATGGTGATGGTGATGGTGTTGGTGATGGTGGTGGTGATGGTGATGATGATGACGATGATGATAATGATGGTGATGGTGATGTTGATTTTGATGTTGATGATGTTGATGTTGATGATGATGCTAATGTTGATGTTATGTTGTTGTTGTTGTTGTTCTTGTTTTTGTTCTTGTTCTTGTTCTTGTTCTTGTTGTTGTTGTTGTTGTTGTTGTTGTTGTTGTTGTTGTTGTTGTTGTTGTTATGTTGTTATGTTGTCGTTGTCGTTGTCGTTGTCGTTGGCGTTGTCGTTGTCGTTGTAGTTGTTGCTGTTGTTGTTGTTCTTGCTGTTGTTGTTGTTTTTGTTCTTGTTCTTGTTCTTGTCCTTGTTATGGTTCTTGTTGTTCTTCTTTTTGTTGTTGATGTTGATGGTGACGTTGTTGTTGATGATGATGATGACAACGATGATGACGATTATGATTATGATGATTATGATGGTGATGCTGATGATAGTGATGATGATGATGATGATGATGATGATGATGATAATGGTGATGCTGATGATGCTGTTGCTGCCTCTGATGATGATGCTTATAATCTTATTATCATTATTATTAGTATTATGATTATTGGCGAGCATATTGTGAAGGCGAGCAGATGTGAAGGTTAGCAAATGTGAAGGTGAGCAGATGCGAAAGTTCGCAAATGTAATGTGTAGATTGTAGATGGCACATCCCTCTTTATGAAGAAACCTTCGCTCATACGCCCTGGGAAACACATACAGCAACTATAAGGCACTGTCAAGCAGCTAGAAAAGCAGAGCAACTAAAAGAGTACAGCACCAGAATAATAAAGCAACTAGACTAGAAGAGTCAAGCTCAAGTAGAACAGCAAAGCAAAGCCAGAAAGAAGTCATGCGATCACCATGCATCTGACGTCACAGGAAACACAAGACACAAGCGAGACAAAACACTGGGCCCAGGTGAGATACTTCCTTTGACTACTAGCGCCAAAGCGTGTACCACCCGCGCGAACAGGTGTACAGCGAACCCGGAAAAAACGCGTGTGCAGCCAACCCCCGGCCATTTGCAAATCTAGTACGACATGATCGGACTTTATCACGCTATATTGTCGCTGAAACCGAGGTGCTCGTTCACCCCTGTTTCCAAATTAATACGTGCACCGCCGTAGATCCACATCTGTCCGCTCGGAGTCACAATTGCACTATGTCCGTGCCTGCCCTTGGGGGAGTTCTTGGGAACAACGTCCTTCAACTGTTCCTTCTCGATGTCAAAGCACCGCCTCAGAGATTTTGATGCTTCGCAGGCAGAAGGTGGTCGATATCCAGCTTTTCCAAAACTTGATTTCTCCCAGCCGAAAACGACTTGATGTTTTGTAACCCCGGGCGTCTACCGAGCCGCCTACTGAGCCAACTCATGCGTATCATGTATTGGAGAAACTGAAAGAAAGGAACGGTTAAAGAAATGAGCATAAATGAGCATTGTTGCCTGTACTATGTTTGATTCGTTTTGACCTCATTGTCTCATTGTACAACTGTTTCTCTTCTCTTTTGGTTTCCATGCGATGTTCGATGCTGGATGTTCTCGGTCTTTGCGGGGCGACATTTCATCAAGTTTCCTGCACCTTCCAAGGGGTGGTTTATAAGCGCCCTTTAAGCCTTATATTGAGTGGTGGTTTGCACCCCCAAAAGGTGTCGGTGCTGAGCTGTCTGAAGTCGCTGATTAATAATTCTGGAGGCAACTTCAAGAAGGCTGTATGCAAATTTCAGTCATTTTCATATCATCATCATCATCATCAACATCATCATCATCATCACCATCATCA